AGGCAGACTTGATAAAAAGTAGAAAGAAACGTTTTGAGCCTCACCACAATAGCCTTGCCAACATCGAAAAAGACATGTAGGCCTGGTCACCTTGCACCTCACTTTCTAAGCATGCCTTTTTATACATCGTCAAAGACAATCCTCAGAATGATAAACTTTTATTTTCACATATATTTCTTGGCATAGGCCTTCATATCATGCCAATTAACAAGTAGACAGCGTCATCAAAACATACACATAGTTAATCCGATTAGCATGAAGATAAAGCTCTTGTCTATTGTTGCAAATGGCTTCATTAACACAACACGTCCTCATTAAAGAGGTCTTAATACAAACATGGGTTCTTACATCGTGTGGGAAACAAAAAACATTTACACAGATTGCAACGCCTAACCTCTTCATATGTTTGTTGCTCAGAGCATGTGAGCAATTCATGACCATTCTTTTGATAGCTGCCATCTTCTTGATTACAATACCCCATCATTCATAATTTTATAAGATGGTCAATTGGCCACTTAGCAATCAAACTCCTTCATGTGAAGGACTTCAAAAGCCCATAGAGCTTTGAGTGAAAGGCATCAAAACATCTACACGACATGAGGACATGTCAAAGTGCAGGCTTTGACACCTTAAGGATAAGCATGATATAGGTTGGCAGCATGGAGCTTCACAGCTAAAAAATTATGGCTAAAATGAAGCATAAATGACCTCAATTTACTTATGAAACAAAACGGAGGAGAACAAGAACTAACAGGACTTTTATCATTCGCTCCAGTTACATTCACAATTTATACAGGTTCTAAATTAGACTAATCGAAGGAATAATTATTCAGTTGAAGCACTAGGTTTTATAGGAGAAAATATAACAGCGATCAAAATAGATAGCAAAGGCATGTCAAACGGAAGCAGTTTAAAAAAACAATAATTATAAATTTAAGCCTCGCTTAGAGGGCCCCAAACAGAGTAATGAAGAGCCTAGTATGCACAGCACAGTACCACCAGCACTTGTTGCTAAAGTACAGTCCTTTTCAAACAAAATAATTTCAAGCGCATGTAAAGGTCCGCAAAAAGAGAGTATGAAGCATGTAGTGAAATCTACATGGAAATATAGAAGCCTACTCAGCAACATAGGGGTAATTGGTATCAGAAATATTACCAATAGAAAATGAAACTTCTCTCTAATGTTAAGAGCATATGTGAATTCCAAGGTTCACAAATGGCAAGAAACATCATTAAGTTTAGTAAAAGAATTGGTCTACCGATCATTACTTACAATTTTAAACACCTAGAATTCTTGCAATTGCATTGCTTTTGCTTCTTCGGAGTGCCATCTTTGACTTCAGGAACAGTAGCTTGTGGTTGAGGACTCTGTGAGTCTGGCTTGCTAACAAAGAAGTAGAGAAGACAAAATGAGTGAATAGAAACAAGCAAGGCAATTGACTTGAGCGTAACACATAAGAAAAATTAAATACTACACAGTTTGTCATTCTACTCTTATCAATTACACACTTGAATGCATACAGAACAAAAATATAATTGTACTCATTTGATTTGTTAATATTCCGAAACCACAAATATAATGATCAGAAATATGAAAATTGGGACTTACCCAGGAGAAATACATTGAATTTATTTTTACACCTGAATGCTCACTTTTCTTTCAACAAAATGAACAAAACTAATGCAGATAAACATTACTTCAGAATGAAGAAAAAAAATAAAAAAAAATAAAAAAAAAAATAAAAAAAAAACCATGAACTATATTATAGCATTTGAATGATCCACAGCTTACTTCTTTCTTCGTAGGATACTAAGATTGCACATGAATCAATAGTCTTTGACAGCTCATGAACGAGTTCAGTGACTTCAGCCAAAATTCAAACAACTGAAGTACTAAATTCAAACAGCTGATGTATTGAACACAAACAGACTTTTGAAGCTTATATTATAATGAGCCAAGCTTGACTGCTTGAGCACCGTGTTCTGCGTATTGATTTGAGTTTTATTAGACTAAAAAATAAGTACTAAGTGATGAGTTCCTAAACAACCTCAAGTTCATTCACTTAAATCAAACAATCAAGCTCGAAGTCTTGAACAACAAATTCGAGCTGGACTCGACGCCTGGACCTCAAATTAAATTATGAGAACAAACATACACACACTAATAGTCTAAAAAATCGACTCAGCTCATTTACACTTTTGCTTCTAAACGCATCAAAATTTAAGATCAATAGTATTTATTATCACCAATTCCAAATCTCAAATACTAAAATAACCACACAAACACACAACTCCCGTGCAATAACAACCAATTAATTTCCAAATTAAGAAATACTCCATACAATTAATACACAACATAAAAAACCTAATCCAACAAACTACCAAAAAAATTCAAAAATTTAAATATTTCTCCAGAAATTAAACTCAAATTAATGCGATTTTAATAACACAAAATAAAAAATTCAAGTCACTGAAACTTACACTATCGCCGCCAATGCCGGCGGCCTAGATGCAGGATGTACAGCTCGTTGAACAACCTGAACCGGCGATTGATGAACCGGAACCTGTCGAACCGGCGATTTCTGAACCGGAGCGAGTAAATTCGGCGTAAAATCCAATTGCCGAGCTAACTTCTTCGGCGCAAATTCCGATGATGATGAAGACGGTGTCGCCGCCGTTACCGCCGCCATATCTCCTCTTTCCATACCAAATTACCTCCAAATTTTTCAATTTCTAAGCCAAATTCTTCAAATTATTCCGATTTTAAACCAAAACATCCAAAAAATTCACAGATTTTCCTCTTTCTAATTTAGCAATTACAGATAACCTGAAACCTCAAAAACTGGAAAACGTCGGAAAAACAGCTCCGGCAAAATCAGCGTATTCCAACGCAATAAACCACCGGAGAGACGGAGAAAGTTGTTAAACGGCGTCGTTTTGATGCCGGTGATGAGAGAGATTGAGGAGAGAGAAAGTGAGTTTTAAGTGGCCATGGCATTTCCTCCCTCTCTGAGTGTTATACATCCCTGACCTTTTGAAATTCAATTTCGGCGATTTTTGACGGTTGGATCACCACTTTTAAGATCCAACGGTGTAGCTTGAAAGAATTAGATCTACGGCTTTAAATTACAAAGAATTTTGGAACGAGAATTAATGGCCGTTGGATTTGAAAAAAAGGCCGATTTTTTTTTTCCGGGAAAATGACGTCATGCTGTTGTATTTTTTTATGTTTTTGAAAATTTAAAGGGATATTAATTAAAGAAAAATCATACAAATTTGGCGCTAAATGTGCTAAAGTAATAGTACACGTGGAGGGTATTGATTAGTGGGAACAGAATAAATCTTTTAGAAAAGATGATAATTATTCTTCTTTTATTTTTTAATTTATGAAAATGAATTTGAATTTTCAAATGAGGGAAACGACGTCGTAGTGATGATGCATGATTTTGAGAGTATTTTTTTTTTTTTTTTGACTCGTGGGAGTTATAAGTTGTGGGGTCGAAATATTTTGTCGTTGACTGAAAAAGCCAACTGTTTGCTGAAATAGGGTACTCCGTAATAAAGAGTTTTCAAGCTACTATGGCGGAATTGAGCCAGGGTTTGTGGGCCTGGTTCATTCAATCATATAGTCATATTAACCATTATTTATTTATTCATTTTTGGGTGTGTTTATCTAAATCGGTTTTTGCACACCCCTAAAACTAGCCGCCTAGCCGGAAGTAAACAGGTCGGACGGGTTGGGTTTAATTACTACTCCGTAATGTATTAGTTATAGTTAGGTTGTACATGTATTTTTTTTTTATTTCTTTTTTTAACCGTAAGATACGAGGTGCCCCTCCTATCACAGGAGGGGTGCTGGGGTGAGGATCGAACTCCAGTCACACCGGGGGGAGATAGAGGGACTAACCATCCCTCCACTCCTTGATCCTCGGCTGTAAACGCATATTTTTAAGTAAATTTGATTTCATTTTTAAATGTATTTAGCCCTAAGTTTTGGGTGTATTTAAAGCTTCAATTAAATAAAGTTGCTCGAATCTATTGTCTACCCATGGTTCATTTGATCGTGTAATCATATTTTACATTACTTTTTGGGTGTGATTGTTCAAATCAGTAGGTTGGTCAATTTGGGTTTGATCAGCTACTATACCCATTTTGGATAGTTTCACGTTAATTAATTTAAATCATATATTGAATAGGGTTAAATCTTGATTTTAAATTTTAGCTTTAGGTCAACCTAACGAGCTAAGGAGGGTTTGTAATTCTTAAAGCTTCAACTAAATCTAGAATTAAGATAAACTTGCTCATATCCATTAAGCCTAAATCTGATTATAATGAGATTAGGAGGGGGAAAATTACCCTAAGCAAAGGTTTAACCATAATTTGCAACAAAATTAGAGTCCAAACAGAACTAGTTAGAGATTGAATTGGTATAATAATTGTTATCTAGGTCAAGTCACAACCCACAAAAAGAGTCACAACTATATGAGCATGAAAGTAGCAATCCTAACCCACCCAAATTGGATTGCTAGTCTTTATAATAGCTCAAATTTGCATATTAAAATACTTCCTCTGTTCTTTTTAATCGCAGTGTTTGAAACTCACGCTTGTCATATAATAGCTCAAAATTGGATTGGGCTAGTTTTCAATGTAAGCTAGATTTGGCATATGACATGGCAATGCAACATGGCAATTGGAAAGTAAATTTGCCCTTCAATGAAAAAATTTATTAGAAACCATCTCACCAGATAGATTATGTAAACATTGTTTTGTAATTATTCTTGATAATTATCTCTTGTATTGTGGTAATTATCTTGTATAGTTTCCTAGTTTAACCTACAATACTTTTGTATGTATTGGTTAATCGTTAATGAGAAAACACGCCAAAATATTCTCACATTCTCTCGTGGTATCATGAGTCTAGGTTACGATCCTAACCTAATTTGAATTTCTGCTCTCTTCTTCTTCTCTTCTCTTCCTCCATTCTGCCTCCATCATTTACCATGGCCTATTCATCAAAGCTTCATCCGGCTACTCTTGTCACAAACATCAAGAAATGTGTTCCTATTGTTCTTGATTATGACGGTTCGCAGTACAACAATTGGTCGACTCTCTTTCAACTCCATTTCCGCGCCAGTTGATCCCACCGCACAGCCAAACCATCCGAACCTAAGGCAGCCGAACAAGCTTTCTGGCAGCGACTTGATGATGTTGTTCATCAATGGATTTATAGGACGATTTCCAATGACTTACTCAATTCCATTATCGATTTGGATGATAAAGCGGTTGATACTTGGAATCATTTGGAAATTTTTTTCCACAATAATAAGTCGGCTAGGGCATTACAATTGGATGCTCAATTCACAAACACAAAGCTTGACCAATTTGATGGTGTCACACCTTATTGCATTCGTCTCAAAACCCTTGCCGATAGTTTGAAGAATGTAGGAGATAAGGTCTCTGACAATCGAATGACTCTCCAACTGTTGAATGGTCTCTCGACGGAGTATAAACACTTTCGCACATTCGTTCGTCATCTTAACCCTCTGACATCCTTTGATACCCTACGATCCATGCTCGAATTGGAGGAGCAAGGAAATGCTATAGATGTTACATCTGAACCACTTGAGGAGGCACACATCTCTACTGCCTCACAAAACACCACCGAAACCCCACAAAATTCTGCTCAAAACCATGGGTCTAAATCGATTGGTGGTGGCTGGAAGTCAAGCAAGGGCAAAGGTGGAGGAAAAGGCAAGGGTGGCGGCTCAGGGAAGCAGAAACAACAGCAGCAGCCATGATGGGGTGCTTTCCAGCAGCAGTAACCGCAACAAGGGGGGTGGATGTATCCCCAGCCCCGGGCCTACTAGAATCAAGGTCCGTGGCCCACACCCCCCTGTCCGTACCCATCTCAGGGTCCAGGTCCAGCCCAATGGGCCCCGGTCAGACCAGGTCCGAATGCTCAGTCGGGTCTTCTAGGTCCTCGTCCACCTCAAGCTTACTTTGTGGGTAATCCGTTCTCTCCTTCTGGATATGTTCCGACGAATGTGGAGATTTTAAAGCTATGCATACCTTATCGATGGACGATCCTAACTACTACATGGAAAACGGTGCTACTTCATATGACTAATTCTCAAGGTAACTTGTCTTCTTATGTCAATTTGAGCAAAAACATTAATCGTGATATTATTGTTGGTAACGACAGCAAAATTCCAATTAAAGGTCATGGTCACAAATCTCTTATTCAAAACACACTCCAACTCAAAAATGTCCTCCATGTCCCAAAACTTATCAAAAATCTCATTTCTGTTCGAAAATTCACTACTGACAATAGTGTTCACTACTAAAATTAGGTCAAATTACGACCGCTTTTCTACGACCTTGATAAAAACGGTCGCAAAAGTTGAAATCTGCAACCTTTTTTAAGCGGTGTCAAAATTGCGACCGTTTTAAAAGCGGTCGCAGATTTGCGACAGTTTTTGGCTTTTTAAACCGTCGCAAAGGTATTTGAACAATTATTTTATTAAAAATACATGTCTAAAATAATTCTAAAAAAATAAACCTCATTGCGACCGCTTTTAACGGTCGCAATTAAGGTATTTTCTTAAAAAAAAAATATGGTATAACAGGGTGCTTAACTCACTCGGCCTAACCCAAATTTTCTTTCATTCTCACGCCGCTCTTTCCTTTCTCATTCTTCATTCTCTTTCCTTTATCTCTCTTCTCACGCCCCTCATCTGTCTACTCTTTCCTTTCTCTCTCTTCTCACGCCCCTCATCTATCTTCTCTTTCTTTTCTTTCTCTTCTCTTTCTTCCTCCATCTTTTCCTTAAGGCCGAGCTCCATCAGCTACGGTCGCCTTCTTCTCTCTATTTCTTCCTCACTCTTTCTTTCTCTTGTTCGGATTTTGACCCATGACATCAATTCAAATATTTCACTTTGAGAACATGTTTCAATAAGTAGAAGGGATGAGACTTGGAGCAACGAACGAATTTTGGTGTTTTTGGTCAAATTCGACCATAAAAATTCCAGATCTGGAGTTTTCATGGTCGAATTTGACCATATAAACACAAAGAGGATGAATTATTTGAAAAGCTATGTTGATTTCTTTTTTATTTATTTTTTGTTTTTGTTTATTTTCGATTTTTGTGGTTTAATTTCAGTTTTTGTTCGAATTTCTATGTTTATATTCATACGAATTTGGGTTTGATTTTTCGTTCTTATTTGGGTTTGATTTTTTTTTATGTTCATACGAATATATGTTTGATTTTTGTTGTTTTTGGGTTAGATTTTTGTTGATAATCATATATTTTTTATTTTTTTCTGGGTTTGATTATTTGTTTGATTTTTGGGTTTGATTTTTGTTGATGTCATACGAAATTTTTATTATGTTGATTTTCATACGAAAATTTCTTGGTTTGTTTTAGTGGGTGATTATGTGAATTTTTCTATAATTGTGGGTTTAATTTTTTGGGATATTTTTTTGGGTACTGTAAGGTGGACGGTGGTGGTAGGTAGAAATTGTTTAGGGTGGCGGTGGTGGTGGGTAGAGGCTGTTTAGGGAAATAGGGCGGTGGGTGGAGTTACTTGGTTTCGGGTGGGAAACGGTGGGGCTAGGTGTATTGCAGGCAGTGGGTTGCGTTTGTTTACAATTTTTGTAAAAAAAAAAAATTAGCGACCTTCTATAGCAATCGCAAATTTTGAGATTTGCGACCGGCACTAAAACGGTCGCAACTAATATTTTTTGTGACCATTTTAGTGCCGGTCGTTGAAAATAAAGGAAACAGTCGCAAAAAATCTGCGACCGTCATGCAGTCGTAATTATATTTTTTGCGACCATGTGAATAACGACCACCATGTTACGACCGTTGGCGGTCGCAATTATTTTCAGCAACCGTTTGACGTGATCGCAAAAACCTTAATTTTTAGTCGTGGTTTCCATTGAATTTGATCCTTTTGGGTTTTCTGTGAAGGATTTGCAGACGAAGAACAAAATAGTGAGATGTAATAGCAGTGGCAATCTATATCCCTTGTTCACGGATCGTCAAGTCTTTTCCTATTCCAGTCCGTCGTCTTTTGCAGTTGTTTCTCCTAGTGCGTGGCATACCCGTTTAGGTCATCCGGGAAATGCAATTTTAAGTTCTTTGCGTAGTAGTAATTTAATAAAATTTAATAAGGCTCATAATGATGTTTGTCGCTCTTGTCCTTTGGGAAAATTAATGAAAATGCCATTTTATTATTTCTTATCTCATACTACTATGCCTTTCGATATTGTTCATAGTGATTTATGGACTTCTCCTGTTTCTAGCTCTCTTGGTCACAAATATTATGTTCTATTCCTTGATAATTATACAAATTTTTTGTGGACATTCCCTATCTCATCTAAGTCCCAAGTCTTTAATTTGTTTCTCTGTATTAGAACATATATTCGCACTCAATTTGAAAGGGAAGTTAAAGCCTTCCAATTCCAATGTGACAATGGCACTGAGTTTAACAACGATCCTTTCCATAAATTTTGTCATCAACATGGAATGGTTTTTCGAATCTCTTGTCCATATTCTTCTCCTCAAAATGGCAAAGCAGAGAGAAAGATCAAAACGATCAATATCATTGTTCGTACTCTTCTTAGTCATGCTTCTATGCCGCCATCTTTTTGGCATCATGCTTTGGAAATGGCCACTTACCTTAACAATATCTTACCCACACAGATTCTCGGCTATAAATCTCCCGCTCAATTTTTATATCAAAAACATCCTGATTATTCTCATCTTTGAGTTTTTGGTTGTTTATGCTATCCTCTCTTTCCATCTTCTAGGATTCACAAACTTCAACCTCGATCTACACCTTGTGTTTTTCTTGGTTATCCGTCCAATCATCGGGGTTACAAATTTTTTGATATGTCGAGTCGAAATATTATTATCGCTAAACAAATATGGTTTGATGAAACTAGTTTTCCATTCTCTAAAGTTCATACTCCGACACCTTATACTTGTGATTTTCTAGGCGATTTTTTGAGTCCCCTTGATAATCCGATGCTCCGGCATTTGGTGGCATCAAATGATGCTTCCCCTGCCCTTGCCCATGCAACAAATGTGGGTGCTGGTGCTACGCACGCCAAGCAGCCTCGCACTGCCGCATAGCCTTCGGGCGCTGGGTGGGCGCATAAGTAGCGAGTTGTTGCTACTGCTTCACCCGCTTGCTGGAAACCCATCGAGCGTTGTCTTGGGCGAGGTAGAGCAACAACACTTTCCCTATTCTCCTTATCGCAGCCCTTTCTCGTATGCAAGTGACTCTCCCCCTCCCCCCACACCCAGCAGTGTGCTACTATCCCCACTGGGTCAACCGCAGGTGCTGGTGTGGGAGTTGTCCAGCATAGCGAGGACGAGCAGCGTGGGTATATCTCATCTTTCCAGTCCACTTCTCACTCTCCATACCATCCCAACCTCATCCCATGACGACTCGTACTCGCCATGGGATTGTCAAACCGAACCCAAAATACCAAGACAGTTCTTTTCTCACTTCTACCTCTATATCACCCATTCCAAAAAAATCCGGTTCATGCTCTACGTGACCATAATTGGAAAATTTCTATGCAGGAAGAATATGATGCTATTATTGAAAATGGAACTTTGGAATTGGTTCCACGACCGTCTAATGTGAATATTATTTTATCGTTGTGGATTTTTCGGCATAAAACGAACTTTGAAGGCTCATTTGAGAGACACAAAGCTCAACTTATTGGTGATGGTAAGACTCAAAGGGAGGGGATTGATTGTGATGAGACTTTCAATTCGGTTGTGAAATCGGCAACTATTCGTGTGGTTCTTAGCATTGCTTTGTCTAAGTCTTGGCCTATTCATCAATTGGATGTGAAGAATGCTTTCTTACATGGTAACTTGAATGAACGTTTATATGTATCAGCCTTTGGGGTTCAAGGATATCTATCGGCTGGATCATGTTTATCTGTTGCGAAAGTCTCTTTATGCTTTAAAACAGGCACCTCGGGCTTGGTATCAACGATTTGCTAATTTTGTGGCATCCATTGGTTTTATTAATAGCAAATCGGACACCTTATTATTCATTTATCATCATGGTAATGATATTGCTTACATTATTCTTTATATTGATGATATTGTGCTCACTGCTTCTTCAGAGTCTCTTTGAAAACTTGTCATATCCCAACTTAGCTCTGAATTTGCTATGAAAAACTTGGGTCCTCTGAGTTATTTCTTAGGTATTGCTGTAACTCGGAACAAACATGGTTTGTTTCTATCTCAAAAGAAATATGCTCATGACATTATTGAGAAGGCAGGCATGGCTAATTGTAAACCAGCTTTTACTCCTGTTGGTTCGAAAGGAAATGAGTACTCAATCCGACACCCCATTTAATGATACTGCTTATCGTTCTTTATGTGATGCATTACAGTGCCTGACGTTTACTCGTCCGGACATTTCTTATGCTGTGCAACAGGTTTGCTTATTTATGCATGCTCCTAAGGTTGTGCACATGAATGCATTGAAGCGAATTATTCATTACATTCAAGGTACGCCTGATTTTGGGTTGCATTTGTGAAAGTCATCTGTTACTTCCTTCCTCTCTTATACGGATGCCGATTGGTGCAGTTGTCCCGACACTCGTCGTTCTACTTCCGGATACTGTGTTTTTCTGGTGATAACTTGATCTCTTGGTCCTCTAAGCAACTACCTACTTTGTCAAAATCCGGTACCGAAGCAGAGTACCGAGGGGTTGCAAATGTTGTATCTGAATCGTGTTGGGTTCGATATTTATGATTAGAACTCAA